GAATTCCTTATGATCACATTACATAAAAGTCAAACCTAACCCAACTTTTTTTTGTTCGGGCCATTGCGGCTGATATCTGGATGTCTCATATAGTTTCTGGCAAAATTTGTCCTAGTTGTTTGCAGTGGATATAGTCATGATTGATAGATCATTTAATGAACTTTTGCCCCTGCCAGGACCGTCATCATTAAAAGTTGTTAAAAAGATAACAACGAAACAACATTCCACAATCGTAACATTCACTCCTAATAAAGAAATTTTGGAAAATAAAGCAGAGAAAAAAATTAACTAAAATATCACAAACACAATCCTATAAGAGAAAAGTGTTTGGGCAAAACGGAGAAACGGACAATAATAGTAAGCAAGCGACCAAAAGAACGAAATTACCAAGAGGAAAACTGATCACCTACAGGGAAGTAAGTTCAGGAGAAGAAGATAACGATAATGAACAGGAAGACAAAGACGAAACCGGCTTATATTTATGTTTAGTGTGTGGCGAATTCGGTAAAAATGGGGAAATATGGTTGAGATGCAGTATCTGTGGCAATTGGAAACACGAAGCGTGTGCTGACACGGAAAAAAACTATTCACTTGTGATTATTGCATTTGAACCTATTTCAACAATTACTTATTTTAATCTTTGGGGCTATTGTGGCCACCTGCGACCGTTACCCCAACTACCTAGGGTAATGGTAGCCATCAGAGTTTTTTTTATTTACTTTGTGGAAGAAATGTTTTTGTTTTTTCCGGACATTCAATAAACGATCATCAGCAGGAATATCATGTCTATCAGTTTCCACCTTTTTGTGATCATTCGCCATGAAATAATCCAGGAATAGGAAAAAATGCTTAGGGGGCCACCATTTCCCCGCTCTCCCCTACATGGAAATAGTCAAATTTATACATTTGGCAAAGAGTGTATTGATTACTCGAATAATTGGTATAATAATTATTATTTTCGATTGCCTACAAAAAAAATTATGGGTAGCCGAAACAATAGTTTTATAAATTCGTTGTTACCTACCTATACATTTCAAATACTGAAATACATCGAACGCCAGAAAATTCGAAAATATCTGCCATATAGGTACATAAAGGGTGTTCCAAATTGATTCGGCACCATTGCCAACTCCGTTATTATTGATGCTACGAATTCGGTTGAATAGGCACACCAGTAGCATTTTCAATAGCCTTCTCGATGCCGAAAACAAAAAAAAATGGAAAGGCGTTTTCAAAAAACATATTTTCTCAAATTGAACACCCTTTATCTCATTGCACTTCAAGATTCTCTCTGAGGAGCTGATTTCATCGATCTATCACAGTTGGGCTCTAGCTGAAATGATTGCAGAGATATAGGGTGTGACACACTGAGATTATTTCAACTTTAGGATTTGTGTTGAAAATATTCATTATTGGTGAGTATCATAGTGCCAGCGAAGCTTCGTATAGTGCATGATTTCGAGTGATCGACGAATGACCCGTTAGCTCAATTAGCAGAGCGTTGGGCATGTAAACCAGAAGTTGTGAGTTCGACTCTCACACGGGTCGGTGGAGTATTTTCATGTTCTATTGTCACTCGAAATTAGGGCTTTCCAACTTCATCGTTATAAATGAATTTTTGGGATCTGAGCTCACATAAGATAAGTGTCACATCATGACTGGTACCAATTTTCTCATGAGTCCTGCATTTTGTTATTACAGAAAAAAAATGTGTTCTTGAATGACGAAGATATGGTAAAAGTAATGATGAAAATAAAGGGGGTGACACCTTTAAATGGAACTTTCTGCACAGCCTGAATCATTTTGGGTATCTATTGAATTTTCTCTTTCCAAAAATAATCCAGTACATGAAATTGATATTTTTTCTTCTTCAGACGACTTTACTACGACTGCAAAAAAACTCTAGTTAGCTGAAAACATTTCGAATATCCAAAGTGAAAATGAAGAATTGCCTGCTAGAAGGCCAATAAAAAAAGCTCTGTTCACCGAAACATCCAGTGATGAAGTTCTAGGACTCAAACAAATCCTTGAAAGAAAGATTACAAAAGACTCCTCTTTTAAGTAAAATGTGTTTCCAATAACAAACGCTTTTAGGATATTGCCATCGAATTTCATATTCATAGATTATTAAATTTCAGACGTTACACACAATAACAGGCAGGACGAGAGTCGAGAAATATGTGTTGAAAGAAAATTTTATCAGGACCTTCCGAAAACGATGTACAAGATAAAGGACAACACAACAATGCACAAGATAAAGGTCAACAAAACAATGAAATCTCTATAATTGAAACTTCAAATGGTTATTCGAATTCCTTAATTGAATACATCAATTTTGTTTACATCATTTGTCTCTTCAATAAAATATCAGACTATAGAATTCAGAAGTTTTGCTTGTGACAAACCTGCACTTTTTGACAATTTACGTGACCTTTATTTACCTTCAAATATTTGGAACATTAATGTTAGAGCTTGAAAATATGCTCATACTGTTACAGTGAGTTGGAGAAAGTGAAATCAATTTTGCGAAAGAATAAGAATTGTTCAATATTTTCAATGTAACAGTGGCAATGGAAGAAAATAGATCATGATTCATTGTGACAGTAATCAATGTTTTGATTATATGTTTTATTTATTAACTAACGAATTAACGAAAATTCAAAACTTTCTGAATGATGTTACTTTCCCGTTGTTCCTGTTCTTGAGAATATGCACATCCTATATAATCTTTTGTCTACTAATGTATTTTTCATCAATAAAAGGTTAACATTTTTACTTTATATTCCACTTATTGAAAAACGTAGTTATAATATATTTAGGTCATCTAGTTTACCTATGCCTTTAGGGATTGATACTTTTGCTCTTGTCGTTCCCCAAAATAATTTCTTTGTTTCAGACGTTACTAAACAACATTTCTTTTAGTTAGCGATGTTGAATTATCAAGCTGTAAGAATTTTCTAACGGATAAATATTTATGTAAACAAGTCAAACCGATTTATTTAGCTCACTCACATAAAGGTTGCGAATCAGAATTGTGCATGCCTACTACATCCATTCCTGACTCTTGTCAAACACGAGTTATGAAAATCAATGAGCCAATAATAATTCAATTAGCCGGAAAAAATTCTTGGATATATGTTGCACCCCATGAAGAACACATCGATTTAAATTGCAAATCATCAAAACAACAAATTTCATCCACTTTGAAAAATACTGGTATTCTCAGCATGAATCCCAACTGTTCAGCCTATGCAAAGTCAGTTATTCTGACACCTCATCAAGAGTTTTCTAGCGAAATCACAATCACATACATTGCACCATTGGATTCAAAAAAGACATCAAATTTAACTCGTCAACACATATTTTTTCAAAGTTGAAGTAACTCGATATCCCAATTACGGTGGTTTCAAGTTATTTTGATGAGCTTACCAAAATTGGTGAAGATTTAGATTATTTGCAACAGAGCGAGAACGAATTACAACTAAACAATCCTGACCTGCTTCACCATTGGATATTATATTTCCTCGTAACTTAATTGTTGTCTCTGCATTTTGCTATCTCTTGTATTCTAGATGCAAACGTTTTAGAAATGAAGAAGTGAGTAAAAATGCATCGTCTATTGAAAACAACTCTACAGAGGGAGAACATCACATTGAAGACACAGTAGAAGCTGGGAAAAAGACGAGGGGGATGAATGTAGTGAGGTATCGCAAATTGGCGAAAATTGTACCGTTTTTAGGTACAATTTTCAAAATTAGGGGGGAGGTGTTGTAAAGTACATTTATAACATATACCTATTTCTCTATACCGTAAAACCTCACAACTTTGACCAGAGGTCACAACTTTGCCCATATGTAAGGTTGTAAACATGTTTTTTTCTTTATAACTCTGGCAACATTGTAAAATCGTTCCAACAGTCGCAAACGTTCCTTAGCAAGTCATTTCAACTATCAGTAATGCACTAACCACTGTCGGGCTGTGTTGCTCTTCGGAAGCAGGTAAGGAAATTTAGGCTGGTTTTTGTCGATTTTCAACATGAAAAGCTATGGTTTGCTGTGACTTTGTTTATCAATAATATTTCACAAAATTCGGTATGGGCGTACCTTGATGTTTTGTTACCAACGTGATTTTGTGTAATTTTTGCTGAGTGTATTAGAAAGTCCTTATTGGCGATAAGAAGAAGTGGGCAATGTTGTCACATGAATTTTCGGAGTTTTTCGTTCGAGAAAAAGTTTTTTTTTCACTTCAAATAGTTCAAATGGCTTATTTTGTTTATAAACAATAATAATGATTCTGTAGGATGATTATAGTAATGCTTAAAATGAAGACTGATTTATATTTTTGCAGTATGGCACGTGGTACTGTTAGGAGAAAGTTGGAAGCGCGCCATTATAAAAACTATAGTGAGCAAACACTTTCACAGGCTGTACATGCGGTGAAGAGTTAAAATATGAGTTCTAGGAAAGCAGAACGTCATTTCAACATTCCTTGAAAAACGATCCTCAATAAAGTGAAAGAGAAACACCGTGAAAATGTTGGCCGTCCGACTGCCCTCACTAGCATTGAGGAACGTCATTTCTGTGGTACTAAGGCAGAACCCGATATGTCATAAAATATCGATTTTTCGTTTTTGATGCCAATATATACAGTTAGTGGCAAAGAATATGATGGCAAAACCCGATAAGTATCTGAAGCTCTTGCAAATTGTAGGTTAAGAAAATAAGATTCCGATATGTTCCTTATCTTGCAATTGGTCGATGGCAAAACCCGATATCTAAGACATATCGGGTTCTGGCATCATCGTTTAACAGCGGAACAATTCTGAATCCCGGTATGTCTGACTTGGACTTGACACAGCTTGTCGAGTCAGTCGTTTAAGTGTTCTAGTACAGTGCAGATATGCGACGTAACCCCGAATAATTATTATTGTTTGTTGTTTTGGTGAGGGGTGAGGACTATCTATCTTTTTGGCGGTCTGAGGTTGTACAAAATTTTGTAAAATGGATGGAAATAGTAGGGGGGCTATCATAGCTAAAATGGCTTTAGCAGCAAGTAAGTATGGAAAATACATAACAATGAATCAATTGTGTGGGTAGATACTGAATAATAATAATAACTGAACTGTGGCGGATTCAACTTCATGTGATTTTTTTGGTCATATAATTTTTATTTTAGTGTGTGTTCGTTTTAGATAATCCAGTAACACATTCATCGTCAGTGATTGAAGATGATATTATTGTTCTGCAACGTATGGAAACTGTTATGTCGGATAACGAAAAGGAAAATATAACGCCAAATATAATGGCAGCTTCTACAGTTTCTCAAGATATGGAAACAGGAACTGGTGAACTCATTGAAGGTTTCATCCCAATCATGAGGGACACTGCAATGTCAGGTAAAATACATATTCGCTCATACAACTGCATATTCAAATTGCTTTCCCATTGAGAAAACATTGAATTTCATTTATTTTTGCAGATGTTGAAACTCAGGCGGAAGACAACGCAGGATTCACCAGCAATAAAACATCTGATGATGATTTCTCTTCGGATGATTCGTTGATAGACAAAAATTACGAACCATCATCTGAAGAATCAGATCATAATTTGAGCACAATGGAAGGTGAAAATATGAAAGAAAATAGCAGCCCAGAACTAGAAAGGACAGATGAGGGAGATGCAAGTGCAGATAACATTCAAGCAGGTGATAGCTCTGGACGGAAAAAAAGGAGGAAGAATATTCGGAGAGGACGTGACCATGGAAAAGAGCCGAAGAATAGAAAGGGCAAAGTCATTCCGGGGAAACAATTCCGACCCGCTGGCAACTGTTGCCGTAAGAGATGCTTCGAAAAAATAAATGATGAACAGCAAAGGGTTTTCCACGAAAATTTTTATGAATGTTCTAAGGAAGAACAGAATCAAATTCTGGCTGGAGGAATAACAATTTCGAATAAAAGTGGCGAAAGAAAGGGTCGTGGCAAAACAGGTATTGTGCATAATCGCCAAGTTACTGCCAAGTATTGTTTGAAATTGAATGGCAGCATCCAAATAGTGTGCAAAAATATGTTCCAATCTGTTTATGGCCTCACAAAGTTCAAAGTTGATTATTTGGTAGAAAAATTGAAACAGTCTTCTGTGCCCGTTACGTCTCTGAAAGACGAAAGAGGTCTGCATGTACCGAAAAACAAAAAGATCGAAGAACGGAAAGCTATGTTAGAGCATATAGAGAAGTACCCAAAATATGAAAGTCATTATACACGCAGAGACTCACAGAAAAAGTATTTACAGAGCCACCTCAATATCAGAATGCTTTATAATGAATATAAAGCCGAAAATCCAAATGCTGCTTCCTATGACTTATTTCGAGAGGTGTTCAAGTCAACGGGATACTCATTCAAACAACCACAAGTCGATACATGCAAAACATGTGACTCTTTCGTATTGAAAATCAAACAAAGCACTGATCCAAATGAAAAAAACAATTAACCATAGAACATAACCAGCACAAGGATATGGCAGACTTAGCATACAAAATGAAAGATGCAGATAAGAAGCAAGCGAAAGAAGATCCAACATCGAGGGTTTTGGTATTCGACTTGCAGCAAGTTTTAGACACGCCTTCACTGACGACTAACGTTTCTTTTTACAAACGCCTCCTTTCGACATTCAACTTAACTATCCGTGACTGCACCACATGCGGAGGAACCACTAGCTGCTACATGTGGCACGAAGCAATCGGAAGAAGAGGGTCTGAGGAGATTGCTTCTTGTGTTTTGAAAAAACTTGAAAGTCTTCCCGAAAGTGTTACCCATGTCGTTACATACTCAGATACATGTGGCGGCCAGAATAGAAATATCAATATGGCCAGTATGTTTTCATATTTTGTCAGCAAGAGCCGTCATGTTAATTGCGTTGATCAGAAGTTTCTCTTGCCAGGACACACGCACCTCGAATGTGATGTAGATCATGCTCGCATTGAAAGATCGAAGAGTGAAAAGCCATTTCAGGTTTATGAAATGACTCAAGACAACATTATGTCATTTTCGAAGCTAGTTCAGGAATACTTGACACGAAGGAATACTGACACAGAGGGTAGAAAAGTGAACTGGCTCGAGATGAAATGGATCAGGTATGAGAAAACCTTCGGTCTAATCCAATTCAAAACTTCACTCGATGGTGAAAACTTCCGAGTACTCGACTTGAGACGATTCAAACGGGGCAAACCGCCGACACCCTTATTGACGAAATGTTATGATGGGCCACTTCCCATCAATCCCCTGAAGAAAAAGGACCTACTTAGTCTTCTTCCACTAATTAATTCTGAGTGTCACCGTTTTTATTTAAATCTGGAAACCGGTGCCAGGGTAGCAGAATTGCCGGAAGATCAGTCTGAGGAGAGCGAATAAAGATTTTGTGATTTATTCGAAATGAAAAATAAAGTGTATTGCTGAAATGAAAATAGATTTTTTATTCAATAATTGTTCACATCCAATTATATGTCACGAACTGTCTGGTAGTGAGTATGACTTCCCTTTATTCACAAAATGATCCCTACAAAGAATAGTGGAGAAGGCAATAAGTCCAGTGAGAAAGATGGAATGAAGAAGGCAAGCACCGATATGGAGTCATTGTAAGTGATAATTATATCAATTAGCTCGATGAAACTGAGGAAGGCAAAATACTATATGTCAAACTTACTTGGATATTTTCCTTATCTAGAAAAATTTTGTACTGTACCGTCAGGAGAGAGAAGGATATTTGTTGTGAAACACTTTAACGAACTTGCTGCATCAATCTGAATAAAATCTCAATTTCAGTGATACCGCGAACTTTGATAAGCGCTTTCTGAAAAATCTGATATTTTAACATATCGGGTTCTGCCTCAGTACCACGGACTTGGTAGATGTTCTTATAGCGTGTGCTGAATTTGGTTGATCATTAACAATGATAGAGATGAGAATGCTAATCAAAAACTACCTGAATAGTAGAGGAATCGAGTACCGAATCTTCAAAGATAATATTCCAGGAAAGGTTTGGCTGGAAAGTTTTATTCATAGACACAAACACCTGTTGACAAAAAGACACTGCCAAAATTCAAAACGCTCTAGGACGGAAGAGACTGAAAAAAAAAAGGAGATTATTTTAAGCGCCTGGAAACTACACTAAATGGTGTTGAGCCTGAAAATATCATCAACTACGATGAAACAAACTTAAGCGACAATCCTGGCACTCAAAAATGTATTTTCCGAAGAGGCACCAAATATCCCGAAAGATATATGAATGCCACCGAAAACGCCGTTTCTCTTATGTTTGCTGCAACTGCCACAGGTCAAATTTTACGATTGTTTATAAAGCAGAACGTCTTTACGATAGGTGGATCTCTGGAGGCTCACCTCAGACGCTTTGCAATAGAAGCAAGCAACAGCCATCAATTAATTGTGTTGAAAAAAGTATTTTTCCTCAACTTTTAACGAAATTGATGGACAAAATAAAGAATAATGCCAAAAAGACAATCCAAAACGGTTTCCGGGCTACAGGAATTTTTCAGTTCAATCCTCATGAAGTTTTGAAAGAGATGCCAAATGGAAGATTTAAACAGCACGTTTCAAGACAAATCGACAATGTCTTGTTGGGATATCTGAAAGATCGAACAAATACTCAGGGTCAAACTCTAAGGAAGGGCAAGAAAACGACACTGAAAATAAAACCTGGAGAATCCGTAAGATATGAGGATGTAAAAAATAATAAAAATGAGAGGGACAAAAGTGGTGGAAATGAAATTGAAGACTCTGAAGAAGAAAATAGAGAAATAATCGAAGAGGAGCTAGAAGGGCATACATCAGCCAAAGCAGATAAAGATCAGCCTGAATCTTATGACCAATTCAGTCTTTTCGAATTAGAAGAAGGGAAATACGTTGTTGTTCGTTTTGCAACAAAAAAGACTATTGAACAATCTATTGGTAAAATTAGGTCGGTGTCTGATATTGACGAAACTTACACAATCAAATTTCCAAGACGAGACAAAAGTTCCTATATCTATCCCAACTGTGATGATATATCGTATAAGCTTCTTCGATATAAAAAAAATACTTAATCCACCTGAAATGAAAAGAGGTCATCACTTTCTTGATGAAAACCTGACAAAGTTCAAACTTTAATATTGTGAGACTGAATACCTAAGGAAAATAGTGTTGATTTTCTTAATATTTGAGGAAAAAATTGTTGATTTCTTTAATATTTGAATGAGAATGCTACGTTTTTTTCTGTACAGCAATGGAACTGTATTAGTTTTTTTTCATTTCTCTATGAAAAAATGTTTATTTAGTGGTTTAAGAGTGAAAACTGTCAATTTGTTTCAAGTTTTTGTGATATTTCCTATTTTTTCTAATAAAAACACCTTTTATTACAAGTATTCAGCCGTTTTTTTGACTTTCATACATGCAGAAACTTTTTTAAAAACATAATATGAGGGCAATGTTGTAATAAAATGTTTTAAAATTGCTCAACGATGGTTTTTGAATGAGTGGTCATAGTTGAAAAATTTGTTGACAACTTTGCTCACCTCCTTTTTATGTTTTTTTTTTTTTTTTCGGATGAAGATATTGAAACAACACTGGAACAAACGATTCTTGATGCGAAAACATAACTTTTGGGATAAGCGCAATCACCAAAAAAAATCTCACAAAAATATATTAACCAAAAACAATATTTTCGTGGGCAAAGTTGTAAGGTTTTACGGTATTTGCTATGATGTATTTGAATATAATAATTGTATAGGTTGATACCCTGTATGTTTCACAATATTTATCAGGTGCCAGGTATTGCCTGAACATTTTTTGTTAATATTTGGAATGTTATATTATGCTGATGATAATTTCATGAAGTTCGTTGCCTCGTTACAATTTATTGAGTTCAAATAGATATATATGATTTTGGTAACGCTGGCATGTCAACGACTGACTGAGATTTGAATGAAAACCGATTCGATCGGGGATTACAATTTCAACCACGAATCCGAACGGTTGTCTGATATACGGTCACCTTGAATAAACGACTCTGAGCAATTCGTTGTTTTTATCCAAACATCCCAACATTCTCATTGTGCCAGCTTTGGAGGACGCGACCTTACAAATAGAATCAACATAATCTTGAAAAATCTCATCACCAATAACTTGGCAACTGATTTCAACTTTTGTGGATCAAGAGGTGATAAGGATGCCTTTGCTAAATTGAAATTACGAACGGTTATCACGAGTACGTATGTGTCTATTAAAAATGATGAATTTTTGATGTTCTATAAAAAACTGTTATTATGCTCATCAATTACTTATCTTTGTTCTTGTCTCACTCCCATTGCTCCAATTGTCGCAGATGCTCCAAAAATGCCCGTCAACATCAATCTCAAAAATTGGAGAGAAAATTAAGATTTGGTTAAAACATGCCCCAAAGAGAGTTAGTTTAGAAAGGAAAATAACAGTGCAGTAGCATAACTTTTATATACGCATACCTGGGTTACTTATGAAATGTTTTTTTCAATATTTATTCTTTGATTTATTGAAAAGTTCTGCCAATAATTTTGAAATGGTGGAAAATAAATTGAAACCAATTGTATCTAAACGTCAAATGTATCGACGAAATGCGAATGAAATAAGGAGAGTAACAAATGATTTAAATAATTGTGTAGACAAGGAGCTCCCTGAATGT